TTTGTATAAACACATGTTAAGGTCTTAAAAGGTTTTATGAGAGGAATATCTGTTTATGTTTCATATGAATTTTAAAAATCATCCCATTTGTCTTAATAATATATACTGCCATTGCAAACGCTTATGGGCCATGTGAGCAGACGCATTCTATGTTGATCAGGTCTATCTTGCAAACGACACTTCAGACTCAGATGGGACAAAGCTTGTGAAATAAAATAAATCAATTGAGATGCATAACAGGGTTCTTCATAATATAAACTGTCTGATTTCAACTAACATATCCAGACTGCGGGGTAAGGTCATCACTGCACATATGATCATCCTCTCTGAGTTCAATGAAAAATTCAAAACTATAGTGCGGGACGCCGCAGTGCTGAGATCCCCGCAGAGGACACTGTCCCCTATCTGATCTGACCAGAAGAACATGCGCTAAATAGAAAGTACCCCGGGGTAGTAGTGCTAGGGGTGCACCCACCTCTTCAATACAGTTTTATTAAGCCGGGCACCGTTTCCAGCCGAGCTTGCTGCAGAGAAGCGAAGAGTCGTAAGCAACAGTCCAGATGAAAGCAGTAGTTGCAGTTCGGACGTTAACGCACCGGGACACCAGCCATCCGAAAAATGGGTTCGCGCAGCGGGACGTGACTCGCGGGATGCGGCGCTGGAGAGCAATGCGAAAACCCGAGCAGCGTTTCTGAAGGACAAAGGCAACACAGACGGGGATTTTCCAGGAGGAGGAGTGCGCCGCAGGTTGCTCTGATGCGCGACTGACTTCCACATCTCAGCCTTAGTGAATGGGCTGGACACCAACACGGTTCATTGTTAGGCTCCCCGCTGGGGAGACTGGGCTGAGGTTCCCCTGTGGGCGCCCCCTCCACAACACACACATGCAGACACACTCACCATCATCATCATTATGTGACTTACACCTGGTTATGATGTAACATGTCTTTCTGAAAGTGCCAACATCCATCCATGGATACTGTTAAATGTACACTGCAAAAAATCAAAATCTAAATAAGTAATTTTTGCTCAAATTAAGTGCATTTTTTCTTGAATTGAGGAGGTAAGTGAGACACTTTGCCAATGGATCAGACAATTTACATTTAAAATAAGAAAAAAAAAAACAATTGATGTGTCTTATTTCAAGTAATTATCTTATTTTAAGAGTAAGAATACTCATTCCATTAGCCAATTATCTTATTTACCTGCTCAAATTAAGGTTAAATACACTTAATTTAGGACATTTTTTTACTTATTTCTAGATGTTTTTTGCAGTATAGAAGTTATTGGTTGTAAGTCTGATTTTTTTTTTTTTTATTATGAAATAATTATATTTTTATAAGGATAGCCACCCTAGCATCAGGATTTCTCAACTTTATGTTTGTATGTCGATGATTCCTTTAAAACGAGTCCTAGGCAGCACCTACCGGGGGCACTTCACATGGGACTCAGCTGATATTTCAACCAATTTTGCTTCTCCTCAGACTTTTACTATGGAATAGTGATTTAAGGTTGAATTTATTACAACAAAGAAACTACAACTCCATTTATATTAATACCCATGTAAACACCCTGTGAAATAACCCCGATATAATGAACCCAGAGGCATAGCCATAACATTTTTATAAGGGTGGCCAGGCAATAACCGGTGTATACTGAGGGGTGGCCGAAAATGGATAAGCACCAGAACCTCAGGGTCAGTCTACACTGTTCCAACAGGAAAATGAACAAGCAAAACATCCATATTTTCTAAATAAAGACAAACTATACTTTCCTACAGCCTTTGCTAACAAATAGACGCATATATTTAAACATCCATGCTTTTTAGATAAAAGGTAAAATGGATCAAATTCTTTCAGGTTTGAGTTCTGGGGCAAACATCTTTTCCATTGTCATTACTTACCTACTTATATCAATAATCATCCTGCATAAAATTGATATTTACAAGTACTAATATCTACATAAATTGATTATTTAATACATTTTTATAAAAATAATTAATTATCTATGATTTCACTAAAGACTCCTAGATGAATGCAGAGACACATAATTTTCTCTTTACCCATAAAACAAAAAATCTAGTTCTGAAAAGAGCAGGAATTGTGTACTTACCACTTTTAATGTTAGTATATTGATGTGCAGAATTAACCACAGTGTTTCCGTTTATCAAGTAATTATGCATATATGAAAAAATAGTAAGTAATATATGAAAAATTAAAATGTTTGGAATATTCCACTTGATTATTAGGGGCAAAACAATGGTTGGGGTGGTCACCCCTGGGCCCCCATCTAGCTCCGCCCCTGAATCAACCTACCAAAAAAAAAAAAATATCTATCATATGTGGACACACTGTATGTACTGTCTATCCTATGCAACTTTCTTTCCATGCACCAATTTTGGCCCTTTCGGGTTTGACCGATCCGTTTTAGGGTGTAGATAAATAAAGGCAGCCCTTCATTGTTTTTTGGATGCAGAATCATGCATAAGCGCTTCGATTTTCACACACCGTGCAGAAAATAAATCTGCAAGGAGGTCTACAATATTAAAGAGAATGAGACTCAAAAAAACCTCCTGAACTATCCTAAGATAGCATTATTTAGGCTCATGCAACGCTATGCAGGTGTCCATTTACTTCCTTTACTTTGTATCTGAAAGTGAAATTAATATTGTGAATAACTTTTTAATAAGTTTGGTTATTAATAATCTGACCTTTTAAGGAAGAGGTTTATAGCCATAACAATAATTTTTTCTTACTGTTCTCTCTATCCTCATTTACATATGAAAAATGAATTTAAATGAGACACAGGTGTCCAGATGTCTGTGGTGTCAATAACATATAACTCCCCTCAAAACCTCTTTGCTTTTACAAAATGTGGGAAAAACTAAGAGGTATGATTTTGTCTTTTTGTGTCCATCGCTTTGATTTGTCCTCAAACCTGTAAGCCAGAGCATTTCTTTGATTAATCATAGTTTGCAAAGTTTTGAACCGTTTGTAAACTCGTCACCATCCATTAACTGGTGATGCCATTAACTCAAAAGTGTAAAACACATCCATCCATTAAAATGACAGCAATCTCATATGTGCCCCCCTGTTAATTCAGAGGGCCAAGGTCAGAAGGAGAATAGCTGAGTGGTGGGACTGGGGGATGAAAGATATGCTGACAGTGCAGACTGTTCAGTTTTTTTGCTTCTTGCTGTTCAGTCAAGCCAAAGCTTTTTGTGTGTATGCGGGTATGAAGGTGTGCGTTTGTCATCAATCTTCATTCACTCAAGATCTCAGCATGCTTTGAAGAGTGACAAACATCATTCAAAACCTGAACAATTCCTTATTGGGATTTTGGAAGTATTTTAGGAGCCGTACCAATCTTATGGTTTGGGTGAGTGATGACTGTGTCATATCATATCTGCAATGAGACAAAGGAAGGTACTTTTCATGTGGGAGGCCTCAGTAAGTTTTGTAAGTGGATGTAATTTGTTGGCCTGCAAAGTGAACTATGTCTATCGGATTTCATAGGTTTATTTTGAATATCAATGGCCAGTATTGTAAGTGTAAAAGAAAATAAGGAGAAGAGGACATTGAAATAAAAGTTTCTTGAAAATCAACCCCACCTAGTGGATAAAAAAAGAATAAATTAGCAGAAGGGAGCTTTACAGTGTGAGTTTACATGAATTAAAACCTTAAGGGGGTCAGGGTTTAATATTAGAGAAAAATCCATTATTAATTTCCATACATTTATTTGTACATTGCTAATTTAAAGGATGAAAGAGAGCACATACAGTAGAGAAACTGGGCTACACTGAAAAACAGGCCACACTCCAACATCTTTAAACAGATATCAATGGCAGCAGCACAGCTGATATTTCTCTCCAGGATGGAGTCACAGCCACATGGGAAAATAACAGATAAAGCTACTATGATGAGAAAAAGGCAGAGAGCGCATAACGTTAGAGATTTAACTAACAAAGAGTGCAGAATGGGAGAATAGAGAGAATAAAACAGAATAATGAAAAAGGGTCCCTATGTCCTCCTGCGGTCTAATCCTATATCAGCATAACTATAGAGATAGCTCAGGATAATCTGAGCCACTCTATCTATAAGCTTTATCAAAAAGGAAAGTTTAAAGCCTGGCCTTAAAAGTAGATTGTTGTCTGCTTCATGGAATAAAACTGCTAGTCGGTTCCCTAGGAGAGGACCCTCATACCTAAAAGATCTGCCAACCATTCTACTTTTAGAAACCACTAATATACCTGCTGATTAAGAGCAAAGTGCTCTGTCAGGAACGAAGGAATGATTAGATCCCTGATATAAGACCATAGCTGTTTCAGTGATATGATGAGCTCTAAACTCTGATTGCAACTAATCAAAAAGTTCATTATGGTGTAAGTGGTCACACACTTGTTTAGCAAACCTTTTCTCAAGAATTTTACAGGACATGCAGGTGTCACAGTGGTTAGCGTGCACAACCCATGTACGGAGGCCTTAGTCCTTGACGTGGGTGACCAAGGTTTGAATCTGGCCTGTGGTCCTTTCTCCTCCCTCTCATACACCCTTTCCTGTCAGCCTACTGTCAAAAAAAACAACCTACTATTATTGAAAAAAAGAGAATTTTAGATGAGAAAGGAAGATAAGATATAGGTCTATAATTGGCCAAGTCATCTGGGTCAAGAGATGGTTTCTTAAGTAATTTTTAATTACAGCTATCTTAAAGGTTGGTGCATAACCTTGTAACAGGGATAAGTTAATCATATCTAACGTGGAGAGTTTTGGAACTATAGTTACCTATAGTTAAAGTCTCCTTCATTGCCAAAAAAACAAAACAAAATACCTCTTTGAGTTTCTCAAAACCAAAACAACCACATTCTTATCTCCCAGAATGAATCCTCAAAGGCCATACTTCCACATAACTTTGGAGTAAACAAAGAGGGTGTGTTATAATCTGTCCACTAGCCTACGTGGCTAAATACATGCACTGGTCAGTCAGAAAAAGACTCAGTTAGCACAGCAGGTCTCGGAGCATCATGTCGATCTTAAAGAAGCTGCTTCTTGTTTTATCAGTGGTACCTATGGCAGTGAATTACCCTTTCTTCCCACCAACGTGCTACTCCAAGGCTCTAAGCATGGCTGCAGAGCTCAGCCAGATGGCAGCAGATTTGAAGATAGGCTATGAAACTGTAAGTCACCGCAGTGATCCTACCTGTTTTTGCTCTCTGATCCATTTATTTGTTCTTTCTCACAGTTATTGTTTTTCTCTGTTCAAGGGTCACTGTATGGCACACATGCCGGATCTTTATCTTGACATCCATGTAAGTTTGACCTTGCAATTCAACTAAAATGTAAAATATATAATTTAACAGAAGACAAACAAATCGCCAAAGTCTTTAAAAACTCTGTGTCAATAGTTACATAAATGTTATTACATTTTTTATGGCTGCAGCTAGACTTCTATGGTTCTCTGACTGCAAACCTCAGCTCCTTCAAGTCATGCATGGAATCTTAATTGTTACTCTTGACAGAATGCTTGTGTGATGCACAAAATAAGGGACTACATCTCCATGGTGGAACACCTCAGACTGCGGCGCTGTGCTTACACCAAAGAAGTGAGGAAGCTGGAAGTCACTCTGCGTCAGCTGTTCATCATCTTAGGACAGAAATGCCATGGGGTGAGAATAAAAAATGTTTTGTAAAATTGAATTTGAACAGTACCTATAAACAGATATACCCTATTGTTTTAACAAATCTAATATTGGAAGTCATGGCTGGCACATTGCATGATTGTGTTCCTCCTACTGTAGGTGTGTGGGCGTTTGGGTGGTGTTCCACCTGGGCTGTTTATGTCTGTTTATGTCTGTGTGAGGATATGATTGGATTCAGTGAATGTTACTGGATGCCTGTGAATGTGTCTCTGTTTTCTTGTGGGGTTTCTGTTTAGGGGCGGTGCACCCCTGGGTCTCTGGTTTCTGGGTGCAAACTGGGACTGCCCTGGGTATGACCTGACCAATAACAGCTTGAGTGCAGATTCATGCATGCGTGTTGAAGTAAATACTTTCCCCGGAACCGTAACAATTAACTGGTGCACAATGAACTCTTGACAAACAAGCATTCAAGCTCATGAAAGCAATGAAACAATGGAGTGAAACATCTACATGATTGATGATAATATTGAAAAAAAAAACAAAAAAAACAATATAGATTAAAATGCTATTTTGATTTGATGCAAACTGTTCTGCCCTATTTGAAATTTAGGCGTCTGTAGGAATGGAATATCAGGAGGGAGTAAAATATGTCAAAATCATTAGGCACATTTTTAAATACATGTTCACTTGTTGCCAAAAATGGAGAAAAAAAAACAGACAGTCTGCAGTTTAATGGGTCACCCAGTGAGTGCTCTGTCAGGATTAGGCACGGTTTATGATGCAGATTATGAAAACTGTGCTGTCCTGCAGGGATGTTAGAACCCTCTCACATGATCAGGGGGAGGGAGTGAAACACATCTAGGTCTACAGGCAGTGTTCTTTAACAGACAAGGGTGACCTGTCTGAGCAGAACGGGACATGGTGTGAAAAGCAGACATCGCAGTAATCAGTAAATCATAGACTAAAAATACAATAAAAAAGTAATGGTCAGAGTGTCTCGTAGGAGGCTGTGTATATTGTACAAACACAAATCTTATGTATTTTGAACAGAGATGCTTTAATGAATGGGAAAATGCCATTACTAGCTGACATAGTTCTCATCTTGATATTAACATATATGTATAAATATTTAAATTTGATTATGTTTTGTGTTTAAACAGGACCTGGTGTTTACAATCTATGACTGTGCTGCGCTGGAGCGTCCATACTATCCATACTATCCATACTGAAACCCCACCAGTCTCTCCAGTCCAAAGAGAGTTGAAAGAAGTGAAAATTAATGTTTTCATATCTATTTCTTTTTATAAGCTTTATATTTTATGTCAAGATTTATTAAAGGGTTATTTGTAAAACGTATTGTTGGTTTCACATAAAAAAGTGTTTTTTTTCTCTCCATGAAGAAAAAAATGCTTAGTTAAAAATGAAAAAGGTCACGTTTTTGTTATGTTTACGCAGTGCCTTGCTAAGGTATTATAACCCTTGGAACTATTTTTTAAAACATTTTACACTTGCAACAACTGAGCTTAAAGTATTTAATTGAAATGCTGCAAACGAAAGGAAAACAGACATTTTACAAATAAAACTGTAAAAAATTTGTTTTTTATTAAACCTTTATTTTATTTTATGTAAAATAAATGAACTTCAGCTCTATCAAGTAATATGAAAGAGTGCTCTGTTCCTGCTGAGAGGAAAAACCATACATTAGAGCAACATGATTCTATTATCATGTTTTACTTTCAGAAGGATGTGGTAAAGGTCATCTGGGTTCCATTCCTTTTTCACAGCTTTTTTGAAAGTATACTATGAAGGTCAGTCTGGTTGACATCTTACCAAAGCAGGTATGGACTGTTAATGGTTTTTTCTTGCTGTAGCAAAGAGTTTATTTGCACTCTTCGATTTGTAACGTGTGTGAGTAATACTTGTTGAAATTGAACGATTATTTCACCTAAATCAGGAATCTCTTCAGCTCCTTAACAGTTACCATCTATGGATTAAAGCCCTCCCTTATCCAGTTTAGCTGAATTTGGGGGGTACAAGGTGACACTACTCCTGTTTCTGCCTGTTAAGACGCTTTTCTTCCCTGGTTCCTTGCATTCTTTTACTCTTACCGGTAACTTATTATCTCTTTACCATAATTGGGTAAAGTTGGGTTGGAACTACCCAATAGCAGAGATTCCAAAGAAATAAAGAAAAATCTGACCCCCACTTTAGACCACTCTCCCCCAGACCCAGAGCACACAGAGCTCTACGAGCCCAGTTTTTGATTTATAGAAATTTTCGCTATGGCCTGATAATTAAAAAAATTAAATACATGCCATCAAAATAATTTGTTTGATCCAGACAATTAATTTCCTTGTGGTAGGATTTGGTACTGCGCCCACTTGTTTTTTGGCAGAAACCAAAATAAATCCTTTTTTCAAGATGCAAAGTCAAATTTGACACTGTTACAGTGAGTTAAAACCAAGAAAATTAAATATAAGGACATTATCCTCCAGAAATGTAGAAAAAAATCCTTTAATAGGTTTGTGCAGTAACCAGTATAAGGTTTAAAGCATCTGTCTTTAATATTTTTCCTGCATTACTTTTACTTTCATACTTTAAGAAGTTTTAAAAATAGTACATTTTACACTTTAAAAAGCTTAAGTTGATAATCTAACTTCTAAGCATTTTTAAACAGCAGGCTTTATACTTCTACCTGAGAAATAAACATTAATGCTTTTGACACCTCTGTTAGGCACCTATTCTCATAGAGTTGATGCCTCCAAACAATTTCTTTATGAAAGTAAACAGAGAAGAAAAAGGTAAGGAAGTTAAAGTTAAGTGTAAAAAGGTGTCTCTGGGTAATTTTAAATCTTGAATATTTTACTGTCCAGGTTCTTAAATATATACGGGCGTCCTATGTCTATAATAACATTTTGATGATTTTTGATGAACTGCTCTATAAATGACTAAAAAAGAAAAGCAACAGAACAAAATAAATAAATAAAATTTGCCCTCTTTGTTACTGTCTTTATGGGCCCCTGAAGGTTCAGGTCTGAGTCCATCACTACTCCAAGACTTCGAGCCTGATTGGTGCTTTTTAGCTCTGTTAACTGAAGCTGTGTTCTAACCTCAGTTTTGTGTTTATTTAGCTGAATAAAATGGCAGCACATCTTCTAATAAAGCGCTTCAATACTTCCTAATTACCTGGTGACATTACAGCTGTGTGTCATCTGCATAGTTATTTTTCCTTATGTTGTTTATTACAAGCTTGGACAGTGGACTCCTTTTACGAACTAGATTACATGAAAGAAAACAACAATAACAAATGGTTGTACTTATTTATTTTAAAGCAAAAGAGTAAAAGGGATGATTACAAATGCTTGTCACGTTTATTGGATCTAACATGTGAAAATGGAAAACTCTGCATGGTTTTTTTTTCACTTCATGCCACTAAGTTTATCATATAAATTCCCATAAAAATACAGAAGTTGTAGTTTTCACTTTTCAAAATGTGAAAGAAATAGTGTTAATAGTAATGTTATATTTGAATATACCAAGGCAAAGAAAATACAATTTTTTTATGTCCTCATTTTGTGTGTGTGTGTGTGTGTGTGTCTGTTTTACCTTATTCAAACAGCTATCATGTTTTAAAAATGCAAAAAGTTATAAATAAATATTCCATAACTTATTTTTTCCCCCTGAACTTAAAGGAAGTGAAAGGGCTTCAGGTCATCTGGTTACACTTGTGAAGCTGAACTGATCTCTGCTGAATAAAGTAAACATGAGTGCAACAGTTTTAAGCAATTAGTGTGGGCAGATTAGTGGAAACCTCTGTGGGCCACACTCTACCTGCATGAGCTTGTCTCTTAACTCTAGGCTATTGTCTGCAGGGCAGTACAGGAGCTATAATGAGGACATATGAGGACATCAGGTTGGAGGACTAAAAATAAAACAATTTATAATCAAAATAAACCATTGGAAGATCTGTTGATACACTATAGTTTGAAATATTTCTTTATTTAATTAAACTGCTTACCTTACTTATGAGAAACTCACTTACTTACTTACTTATCATTGCAAATAACATCTTCTTGTATTTTAACATATGTCCATACATGCAACAGATAATTATGTGTTTAATAGCGCAGAGTGTGTCCACGCTGCAAAAAATGGAAATCTAAATAAGTAATTTTTGCTCAAATTAAGTGCATTTTTTCTTGAATTGAGAAGGTAAGTAAGACACTTTGCCAATTTACATTTAAAATATGAAAAAAACAATTCCTTTGTCTTATTTCAAGTGTATATGATCTAATTATCTTATTTTAGGAGTAAAAATACTAATTTCATTGGCAGATCATCTTATTTACCTGCTCAAATTAAGGGTAAATACACTTAATTTAAGACATTTTTTTTTACCGTACTTATTTCTAGATGTTTTTTGCAGTGCAGGGAATTATAAGTTAGTAAAGCTCTTAACACCCCTAGCATAAATGTTATCCTGAACTATAATTCTGATGTTTAATGTTATCTTAAAGACATAATACCAATTGAAATATCTGTTTAATGTTGTACAGCTTATTACCCTTTCACAGTTTATTCTTTATTAACATTTTAAAAGCTGCATTCACAGTAAATAACGTTTTTGGGGGAAAGAATGATGAAAATGTTCTGTACTGTTACATACAATTAATTAAATATATACATTTTTGGTCATTGTAAAAAGGACAGCTGCATATTTCAAACTGTTTTTACACTCCAGAGTTTTATGCAGGTTTCAAATTGTGAAGCATAACAAAAAAAAGCGCAAGAAATGCTTATCTACTTCTGATGATGACTGTTAATCAGAGTCAACCCAAGATAGCAGCAAACCTCATAACTCCTTGAAACCACCTGTAGACCTCAAGATGCAGAGAGCAACAAGTTATAAAAATTGCTACTGTTTTATTTATACTGTATTTAAACGTAATGTTAAATGTGCTGAAAATAACATTATATTTATGCTTTTTAAATAATGGTGTCAGAAGTTCAGAAGTTTACCTTACAACCTTTCATGGCCATTGTGTCCTTGGGCAAGGCACTTCATCTGCATCTCCTACCTCTACTAGTCAGAGGACCTGCTGGTGTTTTTAGTTTGTCACCATCAGAGTGTGTGCATGAATGGTTGCATGACTGATTGTAGAGTGCAGTCAAATCTCCTGACTTGAAAAAGACACTATATAAGTACAGGCCATTTAACATTTAAATGTAATACGTCAGTCCCTTAATGAATTGCACTTCAATTTGCATTGTACTGTCCAAAATGTTCATAAACTTACTTTGTTTTTGCTTGCTTTTATTCTGCTTTTTTTTTTTTTGTGGTCCAAGTGTTTTATTTGTTTGACAAATGTTTTAGCTTTGTTTCTTCTAGTTTATTATCTAATTGATGTAAAGCACTTTGAATTGTCCATGTACTGAATTGTGATGTACAATTAAACTTGTCTTGCCTTGCCTTAGGGTGGAAAGGATTTTTGACAAAGGCAACTAACAGGCAAGGCAATTTTAAAATGCCTTATCAGAAAATGAAAAACGTAACAGTAATAATAACAAATGCATTTAAGAATATTAGAAAAAAATAACCATCACATAAAATAATCCTCTCAAAGAGTCTACAGTAGAAATAGTCCCCTGAGGAAAGAAAGCCTGGTCTCAGATGACCTTAGGGTTTTAACAAGAAACTGGGATATGGATGAGGGTCCAGGACTGATTAAAACTTTGCTGATAACAAGATTTTAAATAAATGCTTTGGAAGTGCAGCAATTTTGAGGGCTGAAGTTATATTGGAGAGTGCTGGGCTAGTGGTTAGAGCAATGTGCTTGTGCACTGAGAAGGTTGCAAGTACCTGGTTCAATCCCTACAGCCTCCACTCTGGGTTCCTGAGCAAAACCCTTATCCCCACAATGCTCCCTGGGCACCACACAATGGCAGCCCACTGCTCCCCAAGCGGATGGGTTAAATGTAGAGAGTGAGTTTCCCCATTGTGTGAAATTAAGGGGATTTACATTGCATTTAAAATATATACTGTGTATATATATATATATATATAACCCGCAATTTCCTGTATTTTTTCCAGGTGTTTGGCAGCAGATTTTACATGTGTTGCATGTAAAATCTGTGTTGTTAATTGATTTATCCAATTGACTGTTTTTGATGAAAGCTGGAAAAGACAGTTTTAAACTAGGCCTAATCTAATCAACTGAAATTAAAAGACAAAAATGTTCTATTTAAAAATATTTCAAATGCTATTTAACAATAGCATTAAAAGATGGATAATGCTCGGTTATCTTTGCTTAGTTTTTATTTTTTATACAAACATCAAGAAGCTTTTTTTGTTTAACCAAACTTTGTACTAAAGAGAGTAGAAATAATGTGTTAATTTTTTTAATCAGATGGAAGAAAAAACAAAAGACAGCAGAGATGGCACAGCATATTCTAAAAGACAATACAAGCAGATCTATAAAGCACAAAAATAACCCAGGCACAAAAGCTGCCAGTGAAAAAGCAGAATTTCAGTTTACATCAATTTTATGAGTGTCATGAT